AATATCTTTCGTAAATAAAAATGTATGTTTATTGTATATTATAATTAATATATAGTTATTGATAGTATATTTATTATTTTTAGGCCGAAAATGAACATTTTATTATTGTTATTTGATAATTGCCAGTCATAATTATTATTAACCCACTAATGCATTATATTTTTAATTTTTAAATAAGCCAACATTAATAATAAGGGTTATGAAAAAATTCAAAAGTGCGTTTTTCAACTGAAAAAATGTCATGTACAATCAAGAATAATATATTATACTATTTACGTAGATGTCATTCACTTCATGAATAATGTTTTTTTAAACTATAGTTTCTGTGCGCAATAATTATTTGCTTTATTTGGTTTCTTAAAAAAGGGTTTATTTTATCTATTGTGAAATATTATTAGTTTATAGTTTATAAAACAACTAAAACGATTCAATTTTAAAAAGTAAAGTTAATCATTAAAAAAAAAAATGCATTGTTCAACTGAAGTGTTGTGCAACATCTAACAATATTTTATCACGAACGAAGTAAAAGTAAGTAGAATAATAATTCATAAAATGGGAATTTTAGTAATACATTCAAGCACAGTTTCACTTATAATAGTACTAAAACGACTAAGAGGATTCAAAACTCTGAAATGCATTTAGCGCCCCCCCCCCCACAATTAACGAAATGCGGTTTCACACTGAAACTGTAGGTACCCATAGGTACTAAATATTTGATATATTCGTTAACAAACGCATTTCTGGATAGGCAAAAAATATAAAATCAGTTTTATAATAATTTTGATAGGTAGTAATTGAAATAGAAGTTCCAGAGCTTGATATTGTTTTCATACTTAATTGGATATGTCGAATGATATGATAAAACTGCTATAAGTGATTACGTTTTTAAAAAACTTAACTATGTACTTTCAATAAATTTGAAGTTCGTGATTTTATCAATAGGTAGTTAAAGACACACACATTCAGTTTTTAGAAGTATAGGATTCTTAGCAGATGTCTATAATCATAAGACACGTTTTCAAGAGTAAAAATGTGATGTAACTATTGGCTTCTTCTTTACATCCATGGTCAAAAATAAAATGAAAATAAAAAGATGGAAGTTCATATTTTTTCTATATTTCAATTTTGATTACAATGATTTGTCATTATCATTATTTTAATTGACAAAGTTAATTATAGGATGATGATAAGCTTACGTACCTGAAGGTAAAAATGATATGTGAAATAAAAATACAAGTTTGAAGTACCTAGGTTGGTAATATGATAATTTTATTTTAAATTTAATGAATACACTTAATTTTATTAATTTTGTATTTTTGTAAAATGTATCACAAATTAGAAAGTTTTAGAAAACGTATTGAAGAAAAAAGTTGTTTTTATCCTAACATTATTATTTTTTTTTCAGTTATAGAATGTCAAATTATTTAAAAAAAATGTTTTTAGTTGAAGATGGTTAATACAAATTTGTTATTACTAAATTTAAATTGATTAATTGAATTTGTTTATGAATATAATTTAAGTACACCATTTAAACGTATATAGTTCCATAAAATCTTCCAGCCAAATTGAAAAATATTTAAAACTAAATATATTTAATAAATTATTTAAGAATTTAAACAGATTAATTTTTGAAAACCAAAAAACAAAATTCCTGAGGATTTTCTATTAAATCATTATCATCCGTTTTTTTTCAGTTTATAACTTTCTACATTAAGGTGCCTACCTGATAAATAAAAAAAATGTTGGATGTTGATGCATATTTATTACAAAACTTTAATAACATAATTTAATATTAATAGTAATAATTATTATTTTTTGTTATCAAGTAGCTTAGACTTTTTAAAAATAAAATTAAAGCAGTATAAGTAAAACTAGTAGTTTTAATGAACTCATTTTGCATTTCAAATATGAGTATATAGGTACACACACATCAAAATAATCTGCCCAATAACAATCATATTATAAAATTATTTTTGAGTTGTAGTATACGTATTACTATTTTAGTGAGATATTACTGATATAGTTTTTAAGTGTATAAAGGTTTTAAATTATAAGACGATTGATAAACAGGTATTTTATTGTTGTGCTGAACGCACTTTATATATTTCAAATATACACTTTCTAAAATTGAGATTTAAAAAACTCATCAATGTTTAATAGTAAAGGTTAACACGATAATAGTTTTTAGATTTGTTAAAAATTAAGAAACATCCTAATTGTTTCAAATTATGTATCAATTTATTCGAATAATTTTAAAACGGACCGACTAACTCGAAGTTATAATTTATGTTTCAAAACACCAATAACCAACTTTTTGTATTACATTTATTTGGCATTTATACTGTTATGTTTAAAAATGCAAAATATAACCGTTTGAAGTTTAGGAAGTTTTTTATGTTATTGTCTCGTTTTCCAATACTAGGAATACTAAATTTTCTAATAGGTACTTCTACACAGTGGCGTAGTCTGGATTATGAAAGAGGGAGGGGAGGGGGCTAAGGTTAAATCAATCCAAGTTTTTTTACAATTTTCAAATAAAAACAGTACATTTACTGGGATGAAACGGTGATGGGGGGAGGAAGGGAGGTGTTTAAACACCCAACCACCCTGGCTACACCACTGCTTCTACACATATATTTTAAGTTTGATACATTTATTGTCCATTTCTGTGTAGGTACATAATAATGCTTAATGCTAAAAATAATAATAAAATTAACAATAAAATAAAATACAATCTTTTTCTCTTATTACGTTGTACAAAACAATTTTCACCATACAAAATAATTGATAGGTATCAATATAACAAAAATGATATTACCAATAATAGTGTACAACATATCAACATTTTAACATTATTACCCATACATTTTAACACATAATAAACAGTTGAACAAAAACGTAATCGAAATATTTTCAAACATAAACAAAAAAATAAAATTTTATAATATTGTTAAATATCGTTATCAAACTACGGTTACATGCGAATCTCACTTTTTCGTTATTGTCATACAATTTCATAATATTATAAAATAATATTACATTATTCTATAAATTATAGTAAGGTACTGTTATATTATAATAATTACTTAAAATAAATTCATGATTTTTTATTGTCATCAAAGTACTATAAATTATTGTTTTAAACTGTACAATTATAAATTATCAATTATTCATAGAATTGAATTATTATAATTTTGAATGCCTGTTAATATAATATATTTATACAATAGGTATAATTTTCTTTATAAGAGATTTATATTACCTATTTATTATTCTATTTTATCGAATATAAGTATTTAATATAATATGTTTAAAAATGTCGATACTTAAAAAAACCAATAAAAAACATGGTATATACTCGTAATAATATTTATTATAGGTTCAAATAGTAACGTTTTTAATTCCGAAGAATAAAATAAATGTAATATTTAATTTTCTATCCTATTTTATTATTTAATATTACCTATCCTATTAAATTCAAGCAATTTTAGATATTGCAGACAATTTTTTTACGTATTTATATTAGCTTTTTTTTTAGAATTCTATAATTAAACAATAACACCCAATTAAAGAAATAAAGTACGACCAAATATCAAATTCCATTTTAAAAATAGCATAAAATAGTTGTAATTGAATCATTCAAGATTATTTAAATCGAGATGTTTCCACTCTTCCAACAAATATTTTTAAATATTAATTTAGGTACTAATATTTATAATAATAATAATAATAATACGAATTTTTTCTATATATATTTCTAATACGTCAATAAACGTTGTAAGTAGAGTTCCTATAATTAGTATTATTCTTAAAATTTCAAAATCAAATAACTTATAATACCATTCAGCGTTGTGCTTGAGATGATAGGTAAAAATGGTAACTTTCCAACCACATTTCTAACGAATGTAAATAAATGTAATTAAATCATATGTTTTTTATGCTAAATACATCTCCGCGGGTAGGTATATAAAGTATTCTTATACTGATTCCCTCATATAATATTAATTTAATTAATTGTAAGTATATTCGAAAACAGAAGAAGACAATTTAAAATATTTTATTCAAGTTATCACTACGGTTTGGGAAAACTAAGTAAAAATAATATAACCCTAAATCTACTAAAGATAAAATGTATAATATACGTTTTTATTCGTGACGACTATTGGAAAATGTTTTTGTAATAATAATAATTAGAATAGATATTGTGAAATATGCTTTGTTCTTAAAATAGGTACGTATAAGATCTTTAGTTTATACTCATAGGTCATAACTTGTTTAAAACGTTTTTCATTGTAACATGCATTCAAGTAGATACCTGGGTACTTTTATATTTTTATAAATCATCAACCAGAAACTTTTATGACATTTTGACAAGAGTTAGAGTTAGAGCTAGGGTTTATGTTTTTTTTCGTAATACTTTCAACTAACAATAATATGTATTAGTGATAAAATATTTCCGGTTTTTTATTGTACATTGAACTGTTATTATTATTTTTCGGTTTGTATTATTTTTTGAGTGCATCGATGACGATAGAAAAAAAGAAACTGCTTAATAGTACTGTACTCTCGTACCTATATTATAACATTATAATTTTAATCTAAACTTAATATTCTTAATGATACCTTACATATATTTTCACACATCAGCCTAACTTAAACTAATATCCGAATTCCCGCGTTACAGGAATTCAGTCTCACTTTTCTGTCTTTGTTGTTAAGGCCCTTGTCTCTCGACAAGGTGAATAGCCTTTAAAACGGTAATAATGATTATTACAAAATAAAAAATAATGCAAAATAATAATAACACAAACATTTATCCTATAATATTCATTATGTAATCGTTACGTTTCTACTAACTATTCTAAATACCTCGAAAGCGTCGTGGTTTATTTAATACGTAGATATTATATTAGGTTATTCTAAAAAAGTTATAATTTTTTCATTACTAAAATCTCGTTTGAGCAATAATATATTAAACTAACAAGAAATAGCGTTGTATTTATTTTGATTTATATTAAATTCCATAAAGTTGATTAAATATTTAGAATAATGGTAATAATGGTAATGACTATTATAACATTATAACGTTAGTAAGACATTGTTTAATAACACAGACATAGTTTTTTTTTTTACAGAAGATTTATCGAAATGCCTTGTCGTTGGTTCCGTTACCCTCGACTTTTATCTTTATTCATATTGTAATAAGAGAACAAGCAGAGTGTCGTGTTCTCGGAACTGTACCTATACATTTTTTTTTGAGACGAGTGTCAAATGTTGCGTTTATAATAGTGACAGAAACCCAACAATGTGAAATATTTATTTGAAAAAAATTCTGACGTTGGTGAAACGATGATATATTATACTGTCGTCATTATCGTGATTGCGTAAAATGAAGTCTGAAAAAGCATGTTCAACAAAACGCGTTGACTTTTGATTCCAAGTGCCGAGTAAAGTGTACGATATAATTAATAGGGTTCGTGGAAATTCCATAATATCCATATTTGATGCGTTGGCTTTAGGACGTAGACAAAAACTGAGTATAATAAGTTGACACCTGCGCCTTTCAAGTATGCCTACTTTCAAGCAGTGATTTTCACCTGAATTTACCTGCCCCTCGACACCTGTTAAAAAACTCCCAACACCCATACGAAGCTTTTTCCAAAACGCTCGAATCAACCGAAACCCGATTAGTTCTCAATTGGAAAAATGACACACTTTTCCCGGTTGATTCTATATTCTGTTTTTTAACAGTGATATCTCATTATTAACAGGCGTTGAATAATGGTCAAATAAACGGTTCATTATCCGGCGACAAATATTTGAGAATGGACATTTATCAGTAAACACTGTCGCAGTTCTAGTTATATGACGATAATGTTATATGAGTTGCAAAAATATTCTAAGAATTTAGAAATTTCCTATGGTTGAATAAGCAAATAATTTTATAGTACATTTTTTACAGGACACATGTATTAACCTAATAGCTTGTTTGAATTGTATACTCCCTCCATTGTTTGATTATCAACACCTGAACATATTCAATACCCGAAATTTGAACTAAATAAATCGAGTGCAAAGCTCGGTTTTCAGGTATAGAGGAGGTATTTTATTCTGTATATTTTGGAGGTAATCTCACGTTTCATTACAAGTTCAACACTTTTTGTCATGTTTAGGCACTTGTGTAGTTTGACAGGATAAAACGTAAACGTTTGATAATAATAAAAACCAATTAAAAACATCAGATAACTTGACCAGTTTATTGTCCATATCACGAGGCAATCGTTTTGCTCGATAGGCTGCAGTCACGACTTTTAAGTATGATTATGTTTTATTTGTATACGTATTGTTTGTTGACAATTAATTAAAAATGTAACAATCGACCTCATTTCAACGTTTTGCCTGTACTTGGTACGATAATTGAACTGTCGAGGACTATATGTTTAAACCGGTAGGTAGGTAGGCATTTTAACTTTTATTTTTGGACTTTTATCGGCATTCGGCGCTATTGCTACCTACCGAACCCTGCAGATTATAATAAAGGGCAGTGAAGTTGAAATTTTACAAGCGTTGGTGTCATGCGATCGTTCGCAGTTATCGCAGACGGTATTGCTAAAAGTCTTGCGAGAAAACGCGAGAGCTTCAGTGCTATTTTTACGATACTTTGATGTTATGTTTTTCAAAATTACTACTTCTCCGTCCGTTGGTCGTTTTATTGCGACTCGTGAGTGGGCCCATGGTATTGTTGTAGGGGAGGTGCACTTCGGAAATAAAAGTTCGACGCAGTTATACGTATAGTGTTATTATGCACTAGCGTTTTGCGCCAATATGTCGTGTAAAGTGTACCAGAGATTTTTTACTCGAGCTCACGAGATTTGTGATGAGTGGTTACGATTTGATATCATCCATTTTTTTTTCGTGATATTATTTGGGGGTGCCCATTGAATATTTTTCGTATTTTAACTGTTGGACAACACCGGACTAACCGGATTAGATAGGGGACTGAAATGCAACTAAAAAAATAAATAATAAAATAAACAACTGAGTTATCCGATACAAATATTATGATATTCCAAGTTCTTGGTGAAATTTAATCATATTATCATATTATTATACTCGTTTGCAACTTGAATTTGTAATTACTGTAATTAATAATAATTTGCTATTACTTTTTTTAAAAACAATTTAGGTACCCGTTAGTCTAGGGGAGTATTAAAAACACAAATTAAGAGCACGGGGTGTATTATTTATTGGGTTTAATATTATTTTAATGAAAGCATTTCTTACACTTTTGAACTTTTGAAATTTTATGGAAAAAGGTGGACGATTCATTTGGCCTGAACAATCTTAAAATATGGATTTTAATGTTATTTTATTGTAGAATTTATGAATCTTTGTATTTTTTATTGAGTAAATATTAAATATATAGTAGTATAATGTTGCTTGGTATTTATTCAGACTTCATTTTACAAAATATATACTTGTAAACATTTTAAAATCTATTTATAATAAAATAAACTATTGTACAAGTGTCGAACAATTAATTTTAATTATTTATTTTTTGACAATTAGAATCGACAAAGGAAACAATGCGAAATCATCTCAAAGAACCTACAATCACTTTTTCGCTCTTACATTCTATTCGTAAATGTCTAATGTGGCCGTTTAAAACGGAACACCAAACACATCTCTGTTTTGAAATTTAATTAAAAATTGGACGTCTAACCGAATAGTTCACGAAAGACTTTAGAGCTGTTTACAGGTAATAAGTTTTAACAACAATCATCAACGTCAGATAAAATAAAAACTAAGTAAGTTTTACGCTTTTATATCTTAAAACTAAATATTGGTCATAGTACGTTGTGTGTAAATTGTGTGTAAGTATATATAGCATTATCTTAACTCTATAACGTTCATATATATTATGATGCTGTTCTATTACGCAGTGTAAGCTACGTTTTTAATACACTAATTAATTATTCTTTGTCCATTATTTAATTACGCGTATAGGTTCATAACTATGCGTACGAGTATGTATGTTGTATTAAGAAACGGAACTTTAACAGGCACTCAAAATTATTAATAATTTACAAAAAAAAAAAAAAAATTAATAAAAATTAGTCACTATAGCTTAAAATATATAGTCGATACAAGACGAACAATAAGTGTCTATAAAATACTTACCTTAATCTTGTTTTATTCATACACAAGAATATAAGCGCAACAGATCAGATAATTCATCGCCGGAAGGAAGACAAATGGTAAGTTTCTGTGAATGGACGTAGGATTTGCTTTGAATATGATTATATGAACATAATATTGTGTACCACCTATAGGTATGCTGGGCTTTACTGTCGACGCAATATTGTCATTATGACATTTACCATCTAGAATTCCATGGTTTGATAAGCGGCGAAGATTTATACTGTAAACACGGAGAGCTAACTGTTATTATGCGATTAACAATTAATTAATTAATTAATGAAGCTCATTATGCAATTATTTATTGTACACGGGCGGTTGAATAAGAAGTCTGAAATATTAAACTCGAGAACGTCATCAATCAAACTAAGCACTGTGGCTTTCCACAATGTTTAAACTGAGATTTATTCGACTTAATATTCATCCTTTAAATTCGGTGTATTGTTTGGCGCTGTGGTGCGAATAAAACGTGTTTTCCTTTGGCGGCATGCAGTCAAAAACAACAGATAGGTAGCTGTTTGCGACGATCTTGTATAAATTAGAAATTGCTCGAATTATCCGCAGATTATTATAATTATAATATCAGCCCGTTGATCGATGCCTATCATAACAATATCACTGCAAATTACAATTATTATAATATTACCCTTTGTCGTTATAGTCATGCTAATCAATTAATGTCTTCAGACGAAATTCTCTCGTTCTCCCCCCCCCCCCCCATCCTTGAATGTTCCACTCATAACGGATGACCTAAAAAGCTAACACATAGTTACCGGTATGGTAGGTACCTATAAATGGCCACTGTAAAAAATGTATTAAACTTCAATGTTAAGTTTATAACCCGATTCAACATGATATTTTGGGGTTTTTTTTTTTAAACAGTCGGGTAATGTAATTTTGACGAGTAATCGACAAATTGAATTCCATTGAAAATAAATTTAAACATTCAACCCAAGTAGATCATTTCTGAATCTATAGAGTATAGACAGTATTGTAAAGTACTCGAGTAAAAGTATTTAAATACTTTTTTTAGTACTCTGCAAATACGTATTTTAAGTACTTTTTAAACAGTACTTGAACGGAGTATTTTCAATACATTCTCAAAGTATTTGTATTTAAAATCAAATACTAACTTTCAAATACTTATTCGTTGAAATTTAGACATTTTCTATTTTAGTTTTAATTGTAATCTAATAAAAAAATTAAATTAAGAATTCATGTTGTTTTTTTATTTTTTTATTATGAATTATACTCAACTGAAAATGCTAATACTTCTACAAACAAATGAGTTGCGTATTTTGGAAGGAAAAATGTAAAAATATGCTGGTCGATTAATAAGCTTAAAAAATAAAAAATTGAAAGTAAGCATTTGAAAGTAGGTATTTATAAATACTTTTTTTAAGTATTTGTGTTCGTCCCTAACTATTATTATTATTATTTTTTTTGGTGAGTTTTTAAATACTTTTCAAAAAAGTACTGTACCTGTATTTGAATATTTTTAAAATGTTATTACAAGACTGTCTATACACTATAAATGTATGCGACATTACTTTTTCCATTTCGTTCATCGAAATTGAGATAATTTATTAACCCAAACAATGAGAATATAATCAACATTAAAAATGTTTCATCGTTAAAAATATACGAAAAGAGCAGCCAAAAAGTAGACCATATTTACTTAATAAAAACAATTTCAAATTTCGAGATTTCGAGATTTGCCGTTTTTTGATCTTCAAGTATTATATTATGTTAGGTCGTGTTAGCTAAATGTTCGTAGCTTTGTGATAAAATCTTACTGTGGGCACATTTTCGACTACCTACTAAACTCAAAAAGTAATTTAAAAAACGAAGACTAGAAATATTTAGTGGTTTGTTTGTATTGTAAAAGTGAGATTGATCAGCGTGCATATTGCAAAGTACAACTTTGTCTTATAATATAGAATCAAAATTATGAATATACCTAGGTAAGTTAGTTTTGTGTTTATTTTCTCAGAATGAAATTATTAAACTCTTTGTCTAAAATATACTTTGTCCTCTAAATCGGTACAATCGGCAGAAAAAATATCTTGTGAATTCGATTTCGTTTTAAGCCATTCAACATTTGTTCACTAGTAGAAATTATGTACCTAACAATAATCAATGAACATTCTATAAAATGTCTTTGTAGGGTTTTAAACGGTCCGACTGCTATTTGGTTGGTGGAAATGTATGATGATTACAGCGATTCTCTATTTTTTTGATTCCCAGCGGATTGATGAATGTAAGATTGATTTAACAATGGTATGTGTTTTTTTCTTCTATCTTTCGTCGCATTTAGAGCAGTGAAAATACTTTGATTTTCTACTTCAGCATTTTTCCTTGTAGAAAAGTGAGTATAGTTGTAGCATATTGGAGTGGCTAAGATTAAATAATTCATAGGCATTTTTAAAAGCGTGAAGAACGACAAAAAAAAAAAAAAAATTAAAAAAAAACTTTTTATGTAAGACCAGTTTTCGACAACATTGATTTTGTTTTTTTGGTGTGACTATATTATCATTAATAACCATAGATACTTTAAATTTTCTGCATCATTGAAAAAAAAGATAACTTTACTTTTTAAGCTATTTATTCTGATAGGAAATTATCGATTTTTTTAGTTTCTTTTCAATTATATGGATGAAAAAAATTTGAAAATGTAATAAAAGGTTCCCCATAAGTTGTTATTATTGTAGTTTAAAAAAAAATCAACCTAAATTAACAATACATTTTTATAATCGTATGAAATTAGAATTTTGAAAAAAGTCAAAAGTCAAATCATTTTGAGTTGGATATCTATTCAGAAAAAAATGTTTCATTTTGTAAGTACAATTTGAACATTTAATAACATCAAAATCATTTTAATATGATCTAAGATATTGATAATTTTAATAGAAGGATCCTCAATAGTTTTGAGATAGTTAAAAATGTTTAATTGTTCAATATTAACTATAATATAGTTTTAGTTTTAAGGATTTAATATTCGAAACAAGATTTCTCACAAGTAGCACTGAAAAACAAAAAATTTAAAAAATGTATAAACAAAGGTTTTTATACGTATTTATTATTTATTACTTTCATTTAATTTAAATAAATAGGACTAATAACCTTATTTTGAAGTCATAAAGTGCCAACAGTATTTTGTCTTACCAATACATTTACCAACTTAAACCGAATCGCCCATTTTTATTTCTATTTGTTTTTGTATCTCTATAAAATACACTTGAATAATGTCCGTCAAAAGTTCTAAACAAGCCTAAATATATTGAAAATCATTGAATGACACACATAATCGATGTAGTCGAAAATTGGCGTTGCGTAAATGAGCCCAATTAATGCCATTTATATTTTGCGTGATTTTTCGTTGTTGTAGTTTTCACCGAAATCTGTTAATTTATTATTGTACACGAACCACCTATTTGAGATACGACGAAAGTCAATAAAAGTTAATTCGGAGAAAACAAGAAGAAGCCAGCGATACACGGTCATTTATCTTTCATACTGATAATTATTTACGATGATAAAATTAAATATTTTTTTCATGCAAACGTTCACGCATGATCCGTCTATCATTTGACAACACATTCCAATCAATATCTCAACTTGCGATATTTCGTGACTCAAATATAGGCGGTTCATATATTATGATATATTGCTCCGTTCAAAATCTAATATTTATCCCCCCAGCTGCCTCATAAACAGTATATTAATAACAAAATTAATTAGATAGATCACAGGATGTACCTATATTTTTTATAATTTATCTCAATTATCGCTGTAACGAGATTGTAGGAGTTGACCACGGTCTGCAAACAAGTACCTATTATACAGTATATTGACTCCCGCATCAAAAGTTTGTGAACCACTGGTCTAATATTAGGTATTATAAAAGTGCAGCGCAGCCGTAGACATTATACTACCAGACGAGCAATGAGTGTGTGGAAGCTTTTTGTTTACTCTATGAGAGGGGGGGCCGGGGGGGGGGGTGTATTAGAAGAAGATATTATATAGATATCATTATTGTCATATTTTTTTTCATCGATACAGACCACGTCAGTGTAGATAAATACAATAAATATCACTATAAACCTTCTACTCATAGATGGGCAACGGTGGTAGTTCCTCTGGTCAACGCAGGTACCGGCTGATCGTCCGAGCTCAGCAAGTTAATCGTTTTTTTTTTAATCAGTTAAAGTTAAGTTACTTTCGTACAAAAACGAGCCAATAGTTAGAGTATGAGTTATTTTCTAAAATGTTCCAAATTTTTAGAAGTTTTCACTATTTTCGCCAAACTAAAATCGTAACCAAGTTTGGAGTGGCAATTAGAAGTTATTTTTTTTACAGTTTGAAATATAAATACAAAAACAGTTTGTACAAAATATGTTGGGTATCACATAAGTCAGTTGCTCGGTGTCTTGGAGGCTAACTTAAATTATTGGCGACAGTAGAAAAATTATGTTGGACAACAGATGATTTGATCAAAAAGTTCAACTTTCATCGAGCAGGGGCGATAACTCATAACTCATTTTTCTTGGAAACGTTGTCGTTAGAACATAGAATGTAAAACAAAATAATGTATATGCATACACGAATTTAAGTATAAATAATATTATATTTTAATTTATTATAGTCGCCGTGTTTAACGTGTATTACGAGAAATATTAATATTTTATTAAAATGTATGTATCCAACTAATCATAAACATAAATAATTGATAACAATTATATGATTAGACAAGTGTCGTGAAATTGAAAATACTTATTATTATTCATTATTAATAATTTACGACCGCGGCTACAGGTAGTAATTATACAGTCGGCAGTCAGCACTCAGGGTTTTTGGAATGAAAAAAAAACCAGTTGCTTATTGTTTTTAACGAGTTAGATTAGATTATCGTCCACATCCAATTCGATGAGTTGAGTCACAAAGTTAATATGAATTAAAACTATTTTAACATTAATTCTCTAAATGGTCAGCTGTGCTGATCGTGTTGTTCCACACTTACACATACCATGAGGGTAGACCACGCCAGTTTGAAGCAAAAACAGCATAAATAAACACTTATAATATTATCCATGGTATATTATTACACGATTCGTGAATATTTCTTACAATTTTCAAACGAAACAAACGAATCGTGAATGTACTTGTATTGAGCATTACGACTACCTAGTAACTCCTCTGGTTTTCGGTTCTCAAAGTTTCGACTTATTACGATGGCCCCACCCGCCGCCCATGCGCTGTCTATGCGTATGAGGTCTGTTATCAAGGCAGTGTCGGCGTGTATCGGTGATTTTTCCTTCTCAGCACCCCCCCCCCCCCCCGTTCAAATATTCTCTAGTCAAAAATTAATTATAAAATCGTCAAGAGCTAACCGTCGGCTAATCGCGTTTCAAACATGAATTTATTTTCACCCACTCTCACACGACCGGCCCACCGAGATTTTCTCGGCAGCTCGCCTAACCCGCTCAGGCCCCGGTCGTCGCACACAGTTCTCGTCTAGTAAAGTATGAGGTCTACGAGTGCGGCACTGGTCCTTTTGCACTTTGGCCACCACTACCGTACTCTGGCCGTGCAGTACATTTGCATTAAATTTTTACGAAACAAAAAATCATAATTGCCTGCGGCGTGACTGTCGCAGTGACGTCGATCTGTTCGCCGTTTGGTTTCACGTTCATATAGTGCCCCTGTGAAAAGTGTCTGGGTCGCGACATCAATGACTCGTAGCCGGGTCGTTTTTTACCCGCAGTGCCGTTGGAAGTGACCGCCGCCGCCGTGATGGGCACGACGGAAAACGGATCATCGTCGCCGTCCTGGTAGTTGTTTGTCTTCTCGTGCCGCATCAGTTCTTTCAACTCTTGGAATCTATCTTTGGCCGTCAGTCGCATGGCGATCACGGGTATTTTAGTTAGGGGGTGATAACCGAGACGAAATAAATTTGCTTTTCTCGTCAACTGATCGTCCATGATAGCCCTCGTTGTAGTCGTCATCCTAGCGATTTTTTCGAACGGTCTGAGTTGCCTGAAAATATGAAACCTGAAACGACAATAATATTATCGTCATGTTAAATGTGAATTATAGTGAAAATAATTGTTACGAGTGGGGACTGTGAATTTAATACACGAAAAGTTCACGAAATATGTGTATGATGTACGATCATATACAGAATTCCAAAACAATGGCATCCTCAATTCTGAAATATAAACTATAACAAATAAATGTAAGTTCTGTATTCATGCACAAGTATATTTATGGCTTTAGAGGAACGAATATATAATATGCGTGTAATAGGTATTTGATATTACATAGGTATTATGAATACAATAAAATATAATAAGCTTCATAAAATACAATTTATTTGTATAGTTTAATATCTGTGTGTAACAAACTGTAAATTATGATGAATATTACATTTATTTTATTATAATTGCTGCAGAGTACAATATGTTACTTGAGAAAAGGTTTTATAGAAAAATATGTCAAAAAAACCAGTGAAAACAAATAATTTCAGTTTCTCAAATACGATTTCGTGGTTAGTTCTATTGAAAGCTTTTGAAAATTCGGCATAAGATGAATTGTTCCCAATTAAGCATTGCTGTTAAAATATTGTAAAAAAATATTTTCGGTTAAAACTTAATTACCTATTGCATGAAGTTGGCCAAGGAATCAAACCATATTGATTATTGTTGTGGGACGTAGAACGATAATAATATGTTAGTCTTAAAGATTTTAATTTGGAAAAGTGTTTATGAATAATAGTGATAGTTTCAATGTTGGAAGTTAATTTTAAATTAGAGAAATAAATGATGAATTGGAAAGGAAAGTGATCAGATTCTAGTGATAAAGCAAAGATTCTATTTTGGACGTTACTTAAAGTAAATCTGCAATTATAAAGAAACATAATTGAAATGCGGCCGGGAAGTTAAGATAAAGGAGTTAGATAAGGAAACATTAGGCGGAGTTAAAGGATTTATGCAAGGTATTTGCCTTAAGTTGGAGTAGAAATGAACAAATAATTCAGAGAAGAGGTTACCAATACCTTCGCCATCATCGGCCTATAGACAAGATCCCAAGATACATTACTCTGCCTAACTATAAAATAATTACAAAAATTCTACTCGCTTATATTATTCCAAACATGGTATATGTATCAGGGAATGCGAATATCTGTCAATAAAATAAGGTTCAAAAACTTCAAACCAATGATATTTTGATTATTGTTATGGCATAATACAAATGTTGGCGGACCCTAACCAAGGGCTTACTAACTTGTCGTTATTTTGGTTTGATCTAAATGCTCGCAAACTAATTATTTTATTTAATTTTGAAATTATATCTGTAAAAAACGTGTTTTCAAGTATTAAGAAAGCTGTTTGTTTATAATAATTGTTCAATAGAAGAATACGCTTACACGATTGTTTTACGTATTTGTACGTATTTGTACATAAGAGTTTAATAATTTGTCCCTATTATTGTATACAGTTATGAAAAAGTGTTTCAAATAGTATTCGATTTATTTAAAAAAAGCTATAATTTACAAAAAAAAAAAAAAAAACAAAAAGCATTTTATATACATTCCTACCGACGGGGGTTGTAGGAAAAATCTAAGGGAGTTGTCGTGCGCAGTGAACAGGCCCGCTATTACTTTTCAAATATAAAACCACAAAACACTATAGCTGGATTATGACGAGTCAAAACTGTTTCTAACTGAATCGTACACGAAATGCGATTGATCGAGAATTCGACTAGATGAACACTATCGACTGAGAACCACGATCCTCACTGCCCGTAGTATCGAATATTAAAGTCAATATTAAATGTCAATTCTCAACCATAGGTACAATGCGTACGAGTAACGTTCTAAAATAAAATACATTTGTATGACAAAAAATGTCCGCGACGCGTTTTTAGAAAATATATTCTGATATTTAAAAAAACGCACACCCACACTTCTGGATGTCGTTTGCATAATATAATATGTTAACGTTGTGTTATATTAATAACATTACCTGTCTGGCATGGTTCGTTCGAACATCATTGATTTTTGTCTGTTCATGTACCTCGGCTTGATGTAATCTTCCCATGTGTTGAATGCAAACGGATCGAAAGTCAGCGGCAGATTGCTGGCCGACTGTGTCAGTTGATTTTGCCTCTGATAAGCGCGCCACATTAGACGCAACTCGAGGCAGGTGGGTTCGTCCAAGAAATCTTCCGGCTGGGAAATTATTTTCACCTCGTTGATCGCGTCCTGTCCAATCTTCGGATCCGGTTTCCGACGATCGATGACCGTTACTTTGGGACCGTACATTTTCACCCTGGGATGAGTCGTACAATCCGAATACTTGTTGAGTACTAATATGAGTGAGATGTACAATACGACGCTGATTTTCATCAGGTCCATCTGTAAAAGAAAAAACAGAATATATTCCGTTCGATTTTATCGAAAATTTCAATTTTTCGGGTTCCCTAAACGTCGTATAATCACGAGACACGCAACGTTACGAAAACCGCGCGATCGATAAATCGACGAAAAAATGTTTACGAACTGTTATTGAAAAGGTTCAATTGGGTATGACGATATTATAATATATGTTTATTGTGTACATTTCGGTTTCGTTTGTTATTATAATGTTGTAATGGGCAATGGAATTCTCCAAAGAAGAGATTAATGGAACTCGATGAATGCGACAAGACTCGTACCTAAAAAACGATTTCCCGAACAATTCGACCGTTTATTTTCGTTTGAAGAATTTATTGAATTCACTTTTTCATTAGAAATCCAACGATATATTTTTAATTAGAAATTATAGACTTAATGGCAGCCATTATGCACCTATACAACATTGTATTGTTTTCGAGCAAATGGATTTAAATGTATCAACAGACTCAATTAATTATTAAAGTGCTGCGTTTAATGCAATACGTCTATTATTGTGTGTATTAATGAACTCGAACGAATCTCAAGACTGTAATCAATTTTAGCAGAGATTCGCAGAATGTATTGATACTTATTCGTATCAAAACAATGAGCATAATAATTGAAAAATATATGGTCATATCGGTTACCTATAGAGCGGTTTTGAGGGAGTTCCGATTTTTATTATCATCGATAGTGTTACAGAACAATGTAAAATAATTGTTGGCATTTCGTTGATTATCTATTGTCGTCACACTGATAGAACGATAATACTTCAGAATGTGATTAAAGCAAGAAATATGCAATTATTGCTTTTAAAACATGACCTAGGTACCCATAATATGTTTAAGAATTGTTTTCAATTTTTTCTGTTAGCGAATTATTGTGTTGATACGAAGAAGATAATTCGTTTCCAATATTTCCGAGAACGTTTTCAAGTTGCTAAACCACACTAATTACTAATTAGTTTCAACTTTCGAATTTAGTCCTGTGGCACTACTAAGCGCTCTCCCAATCTTGTTGTCCTTGTTATTATGTTATTATGTACTCAAACAAAATTACTTATTGAACTTCTTATGTGTATCGATTGTAATTATATTTCTGAATAAATAATAATAATAATCATAATAATAATAATAATAATAATAATAATAACAAAAAACTTCCGCATCAGTGACGTTTTTCATAAAATAAACCATCAGTTGCTTACTGTGTGTATTAAAATGGATTTTTTTTTAAACTCATTATTATTGGAAAAAAAGAAATTTCCTAAGATCTAAGTTGTATATTAAATATTTTGCTTAGAGAATCATTACTAAATACACCATTATGAGTTGAAGTGGTTGATATTAAGCTATACTTTGTACACAATATTGAAAGTATTAAGTTCGTTCTTTTTATTTTCACGTTTTTTCATTCATATTAAATGCAACATGTTAGCAATGTAAATATGCAACAATATAATTACTAAATATTTCAGTAATACGAATTGATGTTTCGCTATTGGACTAGTCATCGATGCCCAATTAAAATCAATTTAGAAATAAATAATTAAATAATTAAACTATAAAGTTGCCTTATATCGATGTTATTTTTGCTACATGATCTGGTAAGTACAATTTTGTTAAAAACCCGTTAATATTAATTATTGAAAATGCATGGTTCGTCCAATATGGTAAATACTTTAATGGATTTTTAGAAATCTTGGTCAATTTGTCAATAAATAATAATAAGACTAATATTATTATAGACTTTTTCCGTGCTTTTCGTCAAAAACATTTTAATGCTGTTATGAACAAGACAAGTTAATAAGTAATTTAATGAAAATTCAAAACCCGATTTAATCAAGTTACAGGTAAAATTAAATTATTTATTGATATGTTTACGCGTAAAATAGTTCAAAACAAATAATGTATCTTTGTTTACGGAGACGGACTTTATTATGACCACTAATGTTTTGAACTACTAAATAACATTTTCGTATACTGTAATGAAATAATTCAATAATTTATTAATTTGAATACTGGAAAAACATAATATCGACTTTTAGCTTTACTAATTAATTGAAAGCTTTTTCGTTTTGCATCTATTGATACGGGCACTCTACGACTAATGGCTCTCACTCTCGCTCGTTAGCGTATAACTATGTAATAAATATAATTTCGAAATATTATGTTTCGTTGACAAACGTATGAGTCTGGCAAGACCGATAATTAATCTAAAAATAGTATTTATTACAAGGTGGTGTCTGAGTTACCTCGGTAACTAACTTTGTTTTTGGTAAAAATTTTCGTTTTAAGATTTCTGGATTTTCTAAACATTTCATGTTGGTGATCACGGCACTAAAAAGATTTAGAAACGATACACTTGGAGTCTTACCAAGGTGGCCATATTTCAAAAATAAAAATAAAGGATCAACCTGTTGGTTTAGGTCTAAAAAAATACTTAAAACAATGGTTAAATCGTTTTTATATTTTCAAGATGTTCGAGAGATAACTTTCTGGTCTGGTGTTGAAATATGTGACGGTCGTCAGGTGGTCACAGGGGGGGGGGGGTGGGCAAGGGGTCATTTGACCGGTATGCAAAACTATAAACACAGTTGATTACAATATTACAGTATACGTCTGTACCTTTTTCAGAATTTATGATTCAGCTTAATTTTTTTTCAAATTAAAATAGCCCGTTAACATTTCTTATTAACAATAACATTAACAAAAGTGCAATCCACAAAAGTGAAATCATATAGTTTTTTTATTATGAAAGAAATACATCTGACGATTATAGTGAGATACAAAAAACCTGTATCTGTGTACCTAAATTGCCTATATAACACGCCGTGTGATCTTAATTTTATGATCGAATAACTAAAACAATTTTTTAAATATGATAATATAATATAATATTATATTATTTTGTAGACCAATAAAAATAATAATAATTGATATTAATTCACAAATATAAATATAATTCATTTTTACCCATATTGTACTATTGTCGAACGAATTCACATCCGATAAATTACGTAGGTTTTTAAATATCCATCAAACATTACATTAGGAGTAAAAGCCGAAAAGCTATAAAGGTTTAATCATAAAATTTCTGAACAATAATCAGACATTTCTATACCGATACTTTTAAAATAATATGTTACAAAAAAAAAATAAAAGGTACCTAATCATCACTAACCTACTAAAAATAAAAAGAAACGTTAAACTCTGATATACATAAAGTATGGATTACATGCTTTGCAGTATATACATCCAAGGTGTATGAAATTAATTGTTTTTTAATGTTATTTTGTTTTTTTTCGAGCTCGCTAAAAGCTATTAAAGTCAATCCGACTGCACAAAACGATTTGAAATAAAAAAACAAATATATATATATATATTTATTTCAAGGTTCGATTTCAAAGAACACAATAATAAGTTCTTAGACCGTTATTGTACTGCGATGAAAGCGTTTTGAGAAAATAATAATAAAGAAGAAAAATATAGTTTTGAAATAAAGGTTTATGTTTAGTTGTATTATTATTTATGAATGCTGAAACGACCGTCCGGCGGCTGCACGTAAAAACAACACGTAGCCATTCATTGATATCGAAAAATACGGTGGATTTTTGTTTATAAAATATAACGAATATTAAATGCAAAGGCTCGAAGGTCACCACCCACTCATCCATCATACACCACCAGAAGCTGACTTCTCGATTCAAATCCTGTCGGCGGTCAATTTTTAATCAAAATATGATGTGATGTGTGAAAACATCCTCGGAGGTACGTATAGTTTTATTTGTAACAATCGATTCGGTTTTAAAGCAACAACTGTTTTTTTAAAATCATTACTATATTATTAAAATTATTTACAATCCGTACAACATAATAATCAGTACAGACAGTAAGCGAATTAGATAGTCAATAACCTTATACTTTGGCTATTACAAGAACAAAATTTAGAAAGACTCATAACAAACGTATAGGATTACTGCATTATTTATCATATTAGCTGTACGACTTCAGTAATTATTGTTAATTTTAGTTTTATATTACCATATTATATTATATTATTTAACTACACAATGTTTTACATAACACTATATTATATAAACAAAGAGAAAAAACATATATTACTTATATTATAAATATTATAGTTAGATATGTGAGAACTGTATAAATATTGGAAATTGTAAGTATTTAATTTATAAGAACTTTTTAACGTATTTATATTTCAAATTGTGAACTCATGGGCCCCCACACGAACATGTTCAGTGGGGCCCATTATCTTCTTGAAGAATAAAATAGAAATAAAAAATAAAAATAAAAATAATGGTTAGCGACATTAGATTATCATTTATGCGCTCTGCACACAATATTAACCGCTGAAGAGTGCACACAGTGAATCATTCAATTTTTTTTGTCAAATTTGCTTTAAAGATATCATCTAAAACTGAATTCTTAAACTTAAGTTTATTTATTGCAAATATATTTGTAATTTTATGCCCGTGGAAAATCACAGTGCGTATCTGGGAACGCCTATGCCAATAATAAAAACATTTTCTTCCCTCACTGTAGCATTCGTTGTAACCAGTTTAAATTATGATATTCCGGTATTTTTTTCTTTTTAAACATTTATTAGAATATCCGCAATCGGTAACATTTCTACAATAAGCATATGCGCGTAATATACTATTGGTAGTGGATGTCCCAGGTGAGTAGCTACTCTGCAGTAACACTCGACTTGATATTCTGAAGATCTATAGATGGGTAAACATTGTTATATTAAATTAAGTATCAAACAGCATAATATTTACTCCAAACACTCCAATCCTTTTACCTCACCATCAAAACTTTCCTTGAGTATTATTACATTTGCCGCAGACGAAAAAGGAAAGTGACAATTAAGGAGTACTGCAACCATGAACGTGAAATTAATTAAGACATACATAATATAAACAAAATTACATTTTATCGCGGACAAATGTTTCACCA